TGGCCTGTGTGCCCCCCCTTCACTGATGGCCTGTGTGCCCCCCCCTTCACTGATGGCCTGTGTGCCCCCCCTTCACTGATGGCCTGGCCACAGGCCAAGAAACAAAGTACTTCATTTGTAGCCCAGACCAGCCAGTCTTCAAAATAGAAACTTGGGGCTCTGAGGAAAGAACCCTTTATCAACCCCACCCCAAAAAAATACCTCAAAAAAGTCCTGGGTTTTCTTTAGGAGGTATTTGAGTTCTGTCAGTTCCAAAAAGCTCTTCTTCAAAGCCTGCTGGTTCTGGTTGGCTTCCTGTAGCTCTCCTTCCAGTTTCTCTAGAGTACTCTATGCCAGGGAGAAAAAATAAGCCGGGTTAAATGTGCTGTGACATTTATTCTACACATTAACCATAACTGATAACTAGACATCAAAAGAGGCGGTCCCCATGTCAAAATGCAGTTGAAACTGAGTGCTCCAGTCAGCTATAAGTCAAGTATTCCTATAGAATGTAGCGAAAGCCAGAGGGACACCGTCCAGATTGTCATCCTCTGACAGAGACAATTCAAAAGCACTCCGAGGGATGGACACAGCTCATGAGGAAGCCATGGTGTCTTGTCCACCTTTTGGAACCCCCAAAAGGTAAAATAAAGTAATTTTACACATTAGGAATTCATTCTGCTCCAAACACACTGTAATGATGGTTAAATTGCAAAAGAAGAAGAAGAAGGAGGAGGAGGAGGAGGAGGAGGAGTGTTCTCTCCTCCCCCAACCTCCTCCCACTCCCCAGTTCTACGTAGATCTGAAGATCCAAATGGGGACAAGAGAAAAGAGAAAGGTGAGGGAAAAAGGCAGGAAGGCAGAAGTGAGCCAAAAAAAAAGAATTCACAATTTATTTAATATAGAAATTTATATATATATAAAAAATCCCCAATGAGCACACACACAAAAGAATAAAGCTTGTGATGAAACCTGATGGGAAAAATCACCAGCAAATCAGGACACACACACACACACACACACACACACACACACACACACACACAAAATCACATGTGTTAAAATAAATCACCTTCCACAGAACAGTCTGGAAAAACAACTTTTCTTTTTTTTTTTTAAGAATGTTCAAAGAGGCAAGAGAGGGTGACCTTCACAAATAAGAAAATGATAACCGGTTAAACAATTTAATAAAGCAGGTAGGGAGCCAGCAAGATGGCTCGGCAGGTGAAGGCACTTGCTGCCAAGCCTGACAGCCCAAGTCCCATCCCTAGGCCCCACGTGGTGAACGGGAGAACCAGCTCCCGCAAGTGGTCCTCTGACTTCTACATGCACATCACAGCATGTGCACACGTGCACACACGCACACTCACTGAGAGACATAAATAAATGTAGTAATTTGAAAATTAGGTAGACATAAAAAGATAACTATTAGAAATCTGGAAAGTGAAAAAAATATAGCTATTCAAATTCAAAACCCAATAGATGAGATCTAATACATTCTAGGCACAATTTGTAAATTTAATATTGAAATTTAACAGCCAGGCATGGTGTTTCACACCATGAATTCTAGCACTCAAGAGGTAGAAGTAGCCGGGCGGTGGTGGCGCACGCCTTTAATCCCAGCACTCGGGAGGCAGAGGCAGGCGGATCTCTATGAGGCCAGCCTGGTCTACAGAGTGAGTTCCAGGAAAGGCGCAAAGCTACACAGAGAAACCCTGTCTCGAAAAACTAAAAAAAAAAAAAAAGAGGTAGAAGTAGGTGGATCTCTGGGAGTTCAAGGCCGGCCTGGTCTACATAGTGAGTTCCAAGACAGCCAGAGCTGTATAATGGAGAGACCCTGTCAAGGAAGGGAGGAAGGAAGGGAGGAAGGGAGGAAGGGAGGGAGGGAGGAAGGGAGAGAGGAAGGGAGGGAGGGAGGAAGGGAGAGAGGAAGGGAGGGAGGGAGGGAGGGAGGGAAGGAAGGAAGGAAGGAAATTTAACAACTAATGTAAAAACCTGGAAGGTCACTTATCTAAAAAGACCTTTAAAATACAATGGAGAGCCGGGCAGTGGTGGCTCATGCCTTTAATCCCAGCACTCGGGAGACAGAGGTAGGTGGATCTCTGTGAGTTCTAGGTCAACCTGATCTACAGACTGAGTTCCAGGACAACCAAGGCTACACAGAGAAACCCTGTCTTGGGAGAGAAAAAAATTACAACAGAGAGGACTAGAGACGCGGCTCAGTGGTGAAGAGCATTTACTGCTCTTGCAGGGGACCAGAGCTCAGTTCCAAGCACCCACATGAAGGCTCACAACCATCGGTAACTCCATCCCAAGAGACGTGATGCCCTCTTCTGACCTCCACAGGCACCAGATACTCACATGGTGCAGATATATATGCAGGCAAAACAATCACACACATAAAGTAAAAATTTTAATTCAATAGAGAAAGCATATTAGCAAAAACACTGCAACTATAGAAATGAATTGACTTCGGTAGCAACATGGTGTCTTAAAAGTTAAGACAAGAAGTGGGGCCCGTGAGACAGCTCCATGGTCAAGAGCACTGACTCGCTTTTTTTTTTTTTTTTTTTAATGTGGATGATGGGGACTCAAACTCAGGTCCCTGTGTTTTTGCAGCAAGCACCTTAACAACCGAGCCATCTCCCCAGTCTCCAGTCACGTGATGGGTGGTAACCTAAAGAGTGGCATCAGGAACCATGGCTAGTGAGTCTCTGCCACGCTAGACCTGGAGGTGGAGGCAGGGGCCGCTGCAACTCCAGGTCATCTGTTATGTGGTCAACTTTGAGATCCGCTTAGGAGACTCCAATCCCCCAAAATAACAAACCATAAATAAATAAAATAAAAGGACTGTCGTTCTCAATATGTTTAAACCTATCCAAGAGACACACTTACCAGAAAGAGATTTAAAAATAAACCATCAGAAAGGATATCCAGGGGCTGGAGAGATGGCTCACTGGTTAACAGCATTTGTTGCTCTTGCAGAGGACCTGGGTTCAGTTCCCAGCACCCACATGGTGACTTACAACCGACTGTAATTCCAGTTCCAAGTGATCCGAAGGCCTCTGTCCTCCATAGGCACCAGGCACACACATGGTGCACATACATACATGCAAACACTCATGCATATAAAATCAATACCCCTTTCTTTTTAAAGTGTCCATAACAATGTTCCCTTGCCCTCCGCCCCCTGAAAACAAATGTATAATGTCAGACAAAACTAAATAGTTTAAATTTGAAGCAGTGAGACTTGGAATTTGCCTGTCTTGGCACAGCTGAAGATTTTACAGAACAGTCAATTAAACCAATCATCTCACACCGAGTCCAGCTGGGTGAACTCTTTTTAAGCTGAAAAGAGCCAGTTCACAAACCTTTTTGTGCCAGGCACATACCTGGAACACATCCCATCCCACCTGTCCTATGGCACTGCATAGGTAAGACTTCACTGCCTGTGAGAAACTGCCGTGCACAAAAGAAATCTTCCTTCAGAATGGGGTGAGCTTGCTCAGAGCTGTGTTGAGAAAGGAAAACAGCTCCCCCTCCATCGGCCTAAGAGGCCCTGAAGTTGGACCCTGAGATTTTCCTAGGGTAGTCTTAGCTAGGGCTTCTTTTGCTGTGATGAAACACCAGGACCAAAAGCAACCCAGGGAGGGAAGGGTTCATTTCAGCTTACAGTTCCACGTCATAGTCCTTCACTGGGGGACTCAAGGCAGGAACTCAAACAGGGCAGGAACCTGGAGGCAGGAGCTGATGCAGAGGCCATGGAGGGGCGCTGCTTACTGGCTTGTTCCCATGGCTTGCTCAGTCTGCTTTCTTATAAAACCCAGGACCACCAGGCCAGGGATGGCTCCACTCACAATGGGCTGGACCCTCCCACATCCATCACTAATTAAGAAGATGCTCTACAGGCTGGCCTACAGCCCAGTCTTACAGAGGCATTTTCTCAACTGAGGCTCCCTCCTCTCAGAGGACTCTAGCTTGTGTCAAGTCAGCATATATCCAGTGCAGACACAAAGTAACCCCAAAAAGGAACTATCACCTACTTGCTCACATGTAAAGGATCTGGAAGCCACTTGACCATCCTCAGCTGGGGAGATGGTCAAGTGAGGCTCTTACCTCCAGGGTGATCATTTCTCGGGGAAGAGGAGTTTCTGGCTCCTTCTCAGGCATCTGGATTAGAATCTCGTTCTGCATCTCATCTTCCAGAAAACCTGAAGGACAGCACAGGTGATGGTGACTTCCTGGACATGGAAGCAGGGGGTCCAGCAGAACAGGTGCCTCCGGCCAGCTGAGCTCTCCGGGTTGCTCTAGCTCCTGCCCCGCAGCTGGGTCCAGCCTCCAACCTCCCATCCCCTCTGCCTTGGGGATCACCTCAGAAAGCATTACAATGCATGGCAGCATGCTGTGCCAAGCAAGCATGGTAACTGAGTTCCACAAACTAGTTCCCTCTTTTGGTTCACGTTAGGCAGGGAGGGGAAAGGGACTTACGGAGGATGCGCTCCAGTGACTCGCACCTTCGGACTTCATTCACAAACTTCCTCTGGAAGCTGTTCACATTTGCATTTAGCTGAGGAAAGGGGAACCACAGGCTTACGTTAGGGATCCAGTGTCTTCTCTTCATCACTGCAGTACCTTCTGGAGGAGGGGATTGTTGCTAGGAATGTGTTAGGAATAAATATGGCTGTGCACAAGACACGTGAGTTACAGGCAAGTCGCACCCTCCATTCCCATACTCCTCAGTGGGGTCAGGAGTATGAGGGGACCTTGAGCACTGTACAGTCTGCAGAGTGCCTCCCGACCATCAACGAGAATTCAACTTTTGCTGTGGGGAACGCTCCGTCAGCTTAGCCTAATAAATGTTAGGCCTAGGGAGAGGAGCTCAGTGGTTAAGCACACTTGCTGTTCTTCCAGTTAGGTTTCCAGCAGCCAAGTCAGGCGGCTCACAGCCACGGGGAGCTCCAGCTGCAGAGGACCCAATGCCTCTGGCCTCATGAGCACCTGCACTCACACACAGACACACACAGACACACAACCTACTGGTGATAAAAATGTAAGATCTTTAAAAAATTGTTAGTGAGGACTGGCCTTTGGTCAGGTGCTGTGCTAACTAGCAATGCAAAGGACAAGATCCAGGCCTCCTACGAGGGAGCAGAAGTTTGACTTTGACCTTGGTGAGGAAATAAAGGACTGATTTTCCAAATAGGACTCAGTAAAAGCTTGGCAAAGATATAAATGGCCCATGGGAAGCGACATTCCAGATAGCCCATCCCTAGAGTGTCTGTACGGTAACTCATGTCAGAAGCAACTGCTGACTCCAGGATGCATTGCCTCTAGCCAGAGAAAATAGACTCGGTGTCATTTTGAAAACTGGTAATCCTGTATTCACTGCCTAGATCCAGCATGTGGAGATGCTAGGCAAAAACTGAAACGCACGGCCATTAAACTACAGCTTCAAAACATTCCTAGAGAAGGCATGGGAGGAGCCGCTGAGGGTCAGGAGACATCTTAGCCGGAAGGTCAGAGCCATGGAATTCCACCCATCCTAGCTCTGGGCCCCTCTTCCAGCACAACGTTTTGTTGATTGCCCAGAAGCATTGTGCAAGGGCTATCTATCTATTGCCACCCCCACCTTCCTCTTATCTCCAAAGAATGCAGCACCTACATCTTTGAACTGAACCAAGCCAAGCTCTCCCAGCTCAGCTACGCAGCAATATGCAGCCTCCACCTGGAGAAACACTTGGGACAAACGCATCTCCTCGCTTCGAAACACAGATGCCATGTTGGCCCAGCCTTAATCTGAAGGAAAAAAGAGAGAGAGATTGAAGGTAATAAATATATAACAATCTTAGCATGATCCAAGTTAGGATTTAAAAAAATCAGAGCTGGGTTATAGCTCAGTGATAAGGGTACGGACATGGCATATATGGTCAGTGAACACAGTCTAGTTCAATCCCCAGCGGCCACGACATCACTCACACATACACGGACACACAGACAAAGACAAGGAAATAAACCAACATCAACAAACCCAAATAACCCCAAACTGAAACTTGGAAGCACCAATCTGATGCCATGGAAGGAAAAAGCACCCTGTCCCCTCCCTCCAACCTTACCTGCTAGGTCACAGCTACGACACATGTGCTGTGGGGAAAAAAAAAAAGGTGCAAATGTCCCTCCAGCTGTGTGTATATAATGTGTAAGTGAAACATGGATGAGTTTTGCATGTAGACTTGGATCCCACATCCAAGATAGTATAGTGTGTGTGTGTGTGTGTGTGTGTGTGTGTGTGTGTGTGTGTGTGTGTTGTAAATATGGAAATCTAAAAGTTCTGGTGCCAAGCATTTCAGATAAGGGATGCTCAGGCTGGGTGATGAGACATCATCCAAAGCTGGTCAGGTGTGAAGCAGAGAAAAGGAGCCAAGGCCCTGGCTCACACAGCTGCTTTCCAACCACTTGGCGGCGTACACCGTAAGGAGCCTTCCCGATGCTCAGGGACAATGCATTCCAAAGTGTGGCGTGTGATGTTTGTGACTCAACATTCCCCCACCTCCAATCATTCATCACGGGCCAGGAGATTGCTTAGTGGAGAAAGGCGCTTGCCATCCGGCCTGCTTTAGTTCAATCCCAGACACCACAAAGTAGAGGAAGAGAGCCGGGGGCTGTAGCACTTTAATTCCAGCACTAGGGAGACAGAGGAAGGTGGATCTCTGAGTTCAAGGCTAGCCTGGTCTACAGAGCCAGGGCTACATAGAGAAACCTTATCTTGAAAGACAAAAACCACCACCAACAATAAAAGGCATACATACATACATACATACATACATACATACATACATACATACATACATGCATGCATACATACATACATACATAGAGAGAAAGTGAGAGAACAGACTTGCAAAGGGGTTCAATGAGCCCCAAAGTTTTCACTAAATAACACATCAGACCCAGGAAGGTCCCCGCAACACACATGAGTGCACACACACACACACACACACACACACACACACACACACACACACACAGAAACTGCCCTTCCTGTCACCTTTCTGTCTCATCCCCGTCACCGCTACCTCATCTTACCCCATAACCCAAGCCACGAAACCCCTCTGGTTTGTAGGTCCAGGACTCCAGCCCTAAGGTCCTCAGCCTCCTTTTCTCTGTGTCTGGCATACAGTCCTCTGTTCTTGTTTCCACGTGACCCCCCCCCCCAGGGCTGGGGCCGCAGATCCCTTCCTGACTTCACTGAACAGCTCTAGACTCAACTCCAGATCCTGGGGGATCAGGATCCCTCTCCTCCATGGCTTGCCAAGCCTTGACCCTTCCCCGGGTTCCATCCATGAGAGACCCCCCCCCCCACTCTCTTCCTCCTGAACTCCATGTCCAGGCCTCCCAGGCTGACACCTTTTGGCCTGGAGAATCTAGAGGGCTATACCTGTTCTAAACACGGCCCCCTCACACACAATCTGTGTCCCTAGACCACCACCAAGTCACCTTCTTTTCTGATTGTGAGGGGGAGGGGAGGGCACTTTCCCAAGTTAAGAAAAAAGACCAAGATACTGAGTCCATGTGAGTGCGGGCAGGGGATGGGGGCCTGTCCACGACAAACTGGTTTCCCACGGGAGTCCCCAAAGGGTCCCCATTGCTTTCCTCCATCATTTTCCTTCAAGTCAACCTAGAAAAACAGCTGTCCTCTACACAGATTTCACATCCTAACACTTGGCAGAACCACAACCTGCCAGCCCCTGGGCCTGTCACCCCAGCAGGATAAAGTCTAAAGCCCGTGAGCAGGCTGAGAGAAGGCCTCCCATGTGGCCTCTGTCTTCTCCGCTTCATCTGTCTTCACTCCCCTCTCACACACCTGTACTTACCTTCTCCGTAATCCTGCACCTACCCCAGGGCCTTTGCTCATGCTCCCCAGCTGAGTCTGGGATCTCAATCTTTCCTCTGCACCATCCATCCAACACCCCCATCATCCCTCCATTCTTCCAGCAAACCTTCCTGACTATCCTGCCTCCTGTCTGCTGCCAGATTATCAGTCAGTGACTTGCTTAACAAGTGCCCCGTATCTCCACGAGTCAACAAAATCCTGAGGCTGGGACTATCCCATCAGTTTAGCATAGAGCAAGCTCAACATTAATCACAAAGTAATTGTCAAAAAATGATGTCCTGACTTACTTCTTTTCCTTACCCTGCGCCCCAGAAGTCCACCAACTGGAGCTACACTTTGCCTTTGGGCACCAAAATGAATCAAAGTTTTTTTGGTTTTTACTCTTCTGTCTGATAACCAAGGCAACGCGTCCACAGAACTGTAAGACATTAGCTTCATGCAGACCAAAAAGCGCAATGCAAAGACCTGTCTCACCTGAGTTTCCTTGGAGCTGATTCTGAGTGGGGACCCACTGCCCAATTCCTGGAGCAGGCAGTGCCCAGCGGCAGCCGAGGCGGCAGCAGCAGCAGCAGCCACAGTCAGTAGTGGCTTTCAAGTGGCCCGGGTGGCAGGGAGGCTGCCTAGCCTCTCCCCCTCCACACTGTCCCAGCTCCCTCTCCAGAGGCCACTCTGTTGTATCAACACATCCTGCAGTAGGTGAGCTCAAACCTGCCACACCGGCCGGCCCTGCTCCACCCGGCCCCACCTGGGCCCCGCCCTCAGCGACAGCCTTGAGTCCCCACTGCCAAGTTACCCTCTGGGGGGGTAACTTGCTCTCAGGGAACTGAGGTTGGGGACAAGGGCTCCCGGGGGCCTTAGAAGGGCAAGGAAGACAGCAGGCTAGTTCAGCTCCTACACGAATCAAAACACTCCTTCAGTCTCCAGAATGAGGCTGGGGTGTGGCTTACTGGTAGAGCACATGCCTAGCACGTAGGAGGCCCTGGGTTTGATCCCAACACTACACAAAACAGTAAGAATGAAATAACATTAGGAAGTAGTTTGGAAGAGAACAAAGTATCTCATTCACCACCCTCTTAAGTACTTTCCCAGACACTGTATTTCTAAAGGCAAAGAGACAGGTGAAGCCGTAGAAAAACCCAGCATGAGAAGTCCAGCTTCCCAATTGGCCAAGTTAGGAGTGCTGACATTTATTTTGCAGAGTGATGAGACGAACAGAGCCAGTCAGAGTTTCCCGGGCTCAGAGGCTTCCACTGCAACAGCCACCTGCCTGCCTTGATATGAATGAACTTTCCAGAACAGCTTTTCCAGGTGGGTGTGTACCCACCCAGGGTCCCTATAAAATGTACCCACTGGGTCCTCAAATGGGAGGTGGTTTTTAGTTGTTGTTTTTATCCATTTTACTGTGTGTGTGTGTGTGTGTGTGTGTGTGTGTGTGTGTGTGTGTGTGTGTTTTGTTTGAGACAGGGTCTCATATAGCCCAGGCTGGCCTTGAACTTACTATCTAGGAGAATTTCAGACCCTCCTGCCCCACCCCACCCCATGCTGGGATTACAGGTGTGTGCCACCACCCCTAGTTTATATGGTGATGGGGACTGAACCCAGGACTTCATGAATACTAAACAGGCACTCTGCAATCTGAGCTACATCCCCAGCTCGTTTTCCACTGTTTCCTTTGGAAAACATTTAAATATCTGTCGGAGTAGAAAGACCTGTTAGTACAAGGACCTTCCAGATACATGTCACTCCACTCCAACTTGAATTTTGTGTCATCTAAACTCCATTCTCCTCTAATTATTAATACTTTGAAGCTAATACCATATACATATAATTTCTTTCAAAATACTATCAACATGTTGTATACTTTTTTTTTTCCAGAACTAAGGACTGAATCTAGGGCCTTGTGCTTGCTAGGCAAGCGCTCTACCACTGAGCTAAATCCCCAACCCCAATGGTGTATACTTATAAAAGATAAAGATTCCTTCTCAGAGACACACACACACACACACACACACACACACACACACACACACACACACACACAAAGTCATGATCACTCCTCAAATTCAGCGATAATTCTTTCACATAAAATACCCTGCCAGGGATGTCTGCACTGGCTTTAACTGTCAACTTGACACAGCCTACAATCAGTTGGAAGTTGTTAATCCCACCGGTCAAAAATAAGACCATTACCACAATTTAAAGTCAAATTTGAAGTAAGCTTTAGTTAAATACTGGCCAGGAGGATGGGCTCGGCCAGGTCTATACTCATGTTCCCAGGAAATGACCCTGAATCAAGGTTTGTAGAGGCTTGAGAAGGCAAAACCCATAACACACTGCATTTTCCATGAGGGCAAGCATACATCCTGATGTGCTTCCTGTCTGCATACCTCCTGACTATATCCAATCTGGGGCAAGGGTACAGCCTGACATATTCCCTGCCCATGTACCTCCCACCCACATATGCTCAAGCATATCCATTGCAGATAGGTCAAACAAACTTGTTTAGGGGAGTGAAAACATGTGGCTTGTTATCTCCCATAAACAATAGCCTCCAGCATTTCAGGAACTATCTGTCCTTGGGCAAGGGCCTTGCAAATCAGAGGCATTTTGTTTTATGGATCTCTAAGGCATAGTAATTAAAACTTAAAATGTAACTTTGGGCTGGACAGTGGTGATGTACTCCTTTAATCCCAGCACTCGGGAGGCAGAGGCAGGAGTTAGAAGCCAGCCTGGTCTATAAAGTGAGTTCCAAGACAGCCAGAGCTGTTACACAGAGAGTCCCTGTCTCGGGAAAAAACAACAACAACAACAACAAAAAAAAAAAAAAAAAAAAAAAAAACAAGCCAACAACAACAAAAGAACCTTTGGTTCTCACAAAGTAAGTTAATGAAAAATTATT